TCTGCAGAAAATCCTCTCTCCATTGAACCGGTCACTGATGCCCAAAAGGTTGAGAGCCGCTGATGTAGCAGGAGGACATTTATCTCTCCGGTTTTTAGAAATGTTCTGACCGAAGCTTCCCAAGAGCATGAAGCAAACTCCTTGTCTTGACAAAAAAACCTTTGTATTAATATACTATGAATTCTGCTCATTCACATCCAGCAAAGTCTTTCAAGGGAGGATTTACAGTCACAGACCTTATCTGGCTTGGAGAGCTGACAGGACGATATCTGCAAAATTTGGCAAGGAGTCTTGGAGAGTCATAATCGAACTAATTGTTTCCTGCAAACTCCACTCCCCTTTCGTTCCTCTTTGATTTCCTCTGGGAGGGGCCATTCACCATTCCACCTGTGGCCTTGCTCCCAAGTCGACCCCTGTACTTTAGCTGTTCCCTTTGTCTGCACATGCGCACACTGGGAACAGGCTCCAGCTGTTTGTCTGCCTCACTGATGTCTGACTCTGAAGGCAGCTGATAACTGGCAGACGGCTCTGCCCCCACCCCCCCTTTCTGCCTCTGACACAGAGCCCTCATCAAAGCATTTCCCAGACTCCAGGACTGGCCCATGTTCCTCCCCAACCTCCTCACTGTCCGAATCTGCTGCCAGATCCGCTGGCAGGCCACAACAATAGAAAACATGAGTATATTTGCAAAATCAGGAGCTTATCCTAACTTACAAAAACGTTTCTCAGAAACTTTCCTAAGAAAATGTCCTCCAGAGTTACTTAGTATCACACACCATGTAAATTAACAATAGCAAGTCTCCCATTTTAAAATGTTATCTATTAAGTCCTCAACTTACAACTTTGATAGAGATTGGCCATCGTGGTTGTAAGTTATGATGGTAGCAAGCTGGGTCACCCATGTGGCTGACCTGATTTTACGACCGTTTTTATGGTGGTTGTAAAGTGTAATCAACCGTTAGGGCTAGGATCTTAATCCTCTTGTTCTCGGTAAGCACTGTCTACTACTATTGCTAACATCAGCTGATCTACTCTGCAGGCTTACTAGTTTGTTTAGTGTCTGTTAAAAGTTACAACAGCACTAAAAAAAAGTGACGTACGAGCAGTTCTCACACTTACGACCTCTGCAGCATCCCCATGGTCATGTGATCAAAATCCAGACACTTGGAAATTGATTCATATTTATGAGGCTTGCAGTGTCCTGGGTTCACCTGATTCCCCTTTTGCAACTTTCTGACAAAAGCAAAGTCAGTTGGGGGGAAGGCAGAGTCACAACAATTTGACCAATTTAACAACTGCAGTGATTCACTTAACAACAATGGCAAGAAAGGTCATAAAATGGGGCAAATTCACTTAACCAAAAAAAATGTTGGGCTCAGTTGTGGTCATAAAATGAGAACTACCTGTATTACACCCTGCACAATTTAACAAGTGAAAAGTCTACTTTGTAAGCCAAGTTTCTACAATGCCTGGATTGCACATTGTGTTAAGACCTGGTTTGTTTTCCTATTTGTCACCCAATTTCACAAATCATGTTAAGCAGAAACCACATAAGCCACAATGAAGCTCAGCACCAATTCTAGTGAGTGAGCACACACTAGGTTTCTGAGTCCATTTAAGAATGGAGTCTCAAAATCTAAATATGAAATTACTGCAAAACCTTGATTTAATAGACTTAATGTAACGGACATCAGAGGGAAATTCCCATCTGAACATCCTTAGGAAACAGTGGATAGATCTGGATGAAGCAGTAACAGTTTTGTTTATTTTATGACATCTATGGTGATTTACATCATTTGCATAACAACCATTAAATGAAGGATGAAAATTGCCATAAGGACATTATTTAAATATCCATAGCTTAGAATAACAGGTTCCATCCCCCCCCCCCCCAGCAAAGCTGACTGAGGAACTTTGGGAGTTGAAGTCCACAAGTTTTAAAGTTGCCAAGGTTGAAGACCCCTGATCTAGAGAGCCAGTTTGGTCTAGAAGTCAAGGCTAGAAAACAGGAGACTGTGTCTTTTGAGTCCCACTTTAGCCATGAAAGCTGGCTGGGTGACCTTGGGCCAATCACTCTCTCTCAGTCCAACTCAGCTGACAGGGGTTGTTGTTGTTGTTGTTGTTGTTGTTGTTGTTGTTGGGAAAATAGAAGGAGAAAGGTGTTGGGTATATTTGCTTATTTGTAAAAATAATAAAGGCAGGATATAAATAATAAATAAATAGTCAGCACAGAATTGGTGCTGGATAAGAGTCAAAGGAATTCAAGAGAGGGCTGCACTTGGATCGTTTGTGGCAATGTAAAGACTCTAAGCTGATGACATGTTTAACTCCACCCCCATCTCTGCCTAATTGTCTCTTACAGGGCCACACCTAATTCTGAAACCCGATTTCTGTGGCCCCAGAAGCCTCTTCCCCAACTGTAATTGCTGAAAAATAGCTGCATACTTTCCCATCAATCTGAAACCAAACATCCCAACGTATACTGTAAGGCCAAAAGACTCAAAATAATTTCCAAAACCACGGAACTGGAAGGAGTCATTTACATGTGCAGAAACTGTTCCAGGTAGATGTCCAACATAAACTTGAAAGCCTTGATTATTAAGGAGCGCCCCTAATAACATTTTCCACTGTGAAACTACTCTCTTAGTATTTTTTGCCTAATATCCAACTATGATCAAGTAGTTTTAAAAAGCAAAGACGTTCAATAAATACTTTGCTAAGGCCAAAAGCATGACTCTGCAGTATCACACCCACAACGGTCTCAAATAAGCTGCAAATGCAGACCTCCTGCGCCAATCCCAGCCACCAAAAAGCTGACTCCTGGACCAAAACTGTATGAAAAGACTGGCCTGTCTGCAGAGTTATAATCCAGATGTGCCCAAGTCATTGCCTTTAAATAACGACAAAACTTTATCACACATTGCTTATACAGTGAGTCTCTTAGCAATAATTAAAATTTAAGAGCCTAGATCTAACATGGAAGGCATAGGAAAGGCCAAAGAGATTGGCTCAGTGATGGTGAACCTTTTCAGCACCGAGTGCCGAAAAGGTCGTGCGGAAGCGCCAGGTGAGCGTGTATGCGCTCGTCGGGACCACGCTCTAGAAAAGCCGAACTTCCAGGTTCTAGCGCACATGAGCACCCAACAACCAGCTGGCCGGCACGCATGCGCACACCCATTTTCAACATCGCTGCATGCGCGAAGAACAGCTGATCATGCGCGCCAGAAACCTGGAAGGCAAACAGATAAGGCCACGTGTACCGGGCGACATAGCTTCGTGTGCCACTTTGGGCATGCGTGGCATAGGTTTGCCATCACGGGATTAGATACTGAATCCTCCTCCTCCTTCTGCTATTCTTCCATTAGCATAATGCCTTGGTTTTGAATTTTCTATCTTTTTTTCTTCAGGGAAACAAACAAGAGCAGTGGCGTTGACCACCATGTATGCTTATTAAAGTGTATCTGCTTGATCCCTCAGTCTGGATGGATTGAGTGTGTGGATGTGAATTATGTAACACAAACTGGAATGCAGATGAATTAAATTAAGGAGGAATTACGAGGTGCAACTTAACATGGAAACTAACTGGAACTTTGCTTACCTGCCCCTTGGCATCCTCTGGCATGGATTTGATATGTATTCTTTTGAGACACCGAATCACTCCATCATAAAACTGTACAGTGAAGGTTCCTAGGACACCAACCCCAAAAAGAAAAATGTTATTTATTGAAATGATGCTTTAGTCCTACAAATGGAAAACACATCAGCTCAGGTATTTCATGTCACCCAAAGCCTGCAAAGTTCTTCCAAATTCATGCAACATTTTGAGAGACATAGGGAATATATATTGAGAACATACTTAATAGTTAAGCCACCAGGCTGAAACTATGAGGTCTAGTCCCGCCTTATGTATAAAAGCTGACTGGGTGACTTTGGGCCAATCACTAGGAGACTGTGAGTTCTAATCCTGCCTTAAGCATGAAAGATGGCTGGATGACTTTGGGTCAGTTACTCTCTCTCAGCCCAACACACCTCACAGCACGGTTGTTGTGAGGAAAATGGAAGGAGGAGGAAGAAATATCAGATATGTTTGTCACCTTGAGCTATTCATAAAAATAATAAAGGCAAGATTTTTTTAAAAAAATCTAAATTTAAATAGTATCAATTTTAAAACTGCATTTTTTTTTCAAATTAATGTTGCACACAGTTTAACATACACAGAAGTCATTTTTAAGGGAATAAATGGTTGAAAAGCTCAATCAGCGCATTGAAAAACATCTAGTTGTTTCAAGCAACCTAAATGCTCAAGCAAGACGCTTATGTTAAAGCTTTTACACATGTTATTTATTTGATGTAGACTTATATCTTCTGTTTTAAGAACTACTCAAGATACTTAACACATGAAACATAGTAGAAACCTAACATATAAATATAAAAGGAAGGTGATACTAATACCTACAATGATAAACCTGTCATTAAAAATGCATATTAAAGAGGTTTCAAGACTGTGAGCCAAAGTTCCTTTTGGGAGTATATTGGGCTTTTCATAAAAATCTTATCAGATGGAGACGCTCGTGTTGGGAGAGGCTCAGATCATAAACTATTTAAGGTTTTGCAAATTAATACCAACGCCTTAAATGGTGTTTGGTAAGCAGCTGCCAATCCATGCAGATCTTAAGCTATGGAATGATTTTGCACAAATGGCAACTTCAAGGCATTTTTAAGGATAACAAAGTGGAATGCAGTAATCAAATGATGGCAATATTGCCTTTTTTTTTTAAAAGCTATTTCATACACATTTTTATTGTGTTTCATACTGCAGAGGGATTAACCTAAGTTAATTGTTGTTTGACTAACTGAGTTTATATACTGTATATAATGTTCGAACTGATGATTTCTGGCTTCAGAGTCTCATCTTGACTAAATTATGCTGTCCCTTAGGCTTTGAAAGCAGAGCCTTGTGTATATTTTTTGAGCATTAAATTCAGCATTTGATTTTAAATGTTTCTAGTATATAGCTTTAAAACCATTTTAAAATGAACTGCTCACTGGAGTTCCACATATTACTTGTAGTTTGGTTCATATAAGAACATTTCAAGACCACACTTGGAATTGATTTAACAACTGGATTTGGTTCTTACATATGGTACTTGTTTCACTGCTGTAACTATTTGGGAAGAACAGTTGGTTTCCTAAAAGTTTTAGCTAGAAATGTTTTCCACTCTCCAAAACACTGGAATACAACCATGAATGTCTAGCCCTTCACTTCCAAAATAGAAGGACTGTAACTGTATGCCACTGGTGGAAAGGATCTTGGAGGTCTTCTACTCCTTCTCAAGGCAGAAGTCCTTAGATCATCCCAGACAAATAGATGTCCAAACTTTTCTTGAGAACCTCAAGCAATGGAGTACCCACAACTCCAGGAGGCAAGTTGGATCAGGCTCTGATGAGCTTCCACCCATTTTTTCTTGTCCTGCCCTCAGGTACTTTGGAGAACAAACTGTCACTCTTTCCTGTGACAGGGACACGGTGGCTCAGTGGCTAAGATGCTGAACTTGTCAGTCAGAAAGGTCGGCAGTTTTAATCCCTAGCGCTGCATAACGGAGTGAGCTCCCGTTACTCGTCCCAGCTTCTGCCAACCTAGCAGTTCGGAAGCACGTAAAAATGCAAGTAGAAAAATAGGAACCACCTTTGGTGGGAAGGAAACAGCGTTCTGTGCGCCTTCGGCGTTTAGTCATGCTGGCCACATGACCACGGAAACGTCACTTCAGCTTTGAAATGGATATGAGCACCACCCCCATTGGGAACAACTAGCACATATGTGCGAGGGGAACCTTTACCTTTACTTTCGTGTGACAGCCCTTCAAGTATTGGAAGAGACTATCATGTCACCCCCTGAGTATTTTGTCCCAAGTACCAAATAAGCTCCCGATACTAACATTTTATTTATTAGGTTTATACTCCAGCTTTTGTTATGGTCTCTTCTCCAACTTATTCCTACAACAGCAGTCCTGGACTGGGAAAAATGACCTGCCCAAAGCCACCCACAAATGAAGATGGACTAGAATCTAGTCCAACACCTTAATCACGAAGCTACTTTAACCCTCCATTTGTGCAATGAAAAACCTTGACTGTATATGACAGTTGCCAAAAAACAACTGAGAAAATAGGTCTATCTACAATTATTAAGGCATAACAATTTAAGTGAAGCTTCATTATTTATATACTTCTAAGGAAGTAAGAGAGAAAAGCTGCTGTCTTTGTATCCAGCTCATCTGCTTCTCTGAAGAGTCTACCTTAATTGCTCTTACAAGAAACCACTAGACTGAATGGATTCCTGGTGTTTCAGCAGAAACACCATGACTAAAAAAGATGTTGTGACTCTATAAAAAGTGCAAAGAAGAGCAATCAAGAGGATTAGGAGACTGGAGGTTAAAACATATGAAGAACGGTTACACAAACTGGGCATGGCTGGTCTAGTGAAGAGAAGGGCCAGGGAAGACATGACAGCAGTGTTCCAATGTTTGAGGGGCTGCCACAGAGAGAATGGGGCGAAGCTATTTTCCAAAGCACCTGAAGGCCAGACGAGGAATAATGGATGGAAGCAGATCAAGGAGAGATTCAAATTGGAAATAAGGAGACATTTTCTGACAGTGAGAACAATCAACTCATGGAACAGAAGTTGCCTTTGGAAGTTGTGGGAGCTTCATCACTGGAAGCTTTCAAGAAGAGACTGGATTGCCATCTGTCAGAAATGGTGTAGGGTCTCCTACTTGGGGGGGGGGGTTGGACTAGATCCTACAAGGTCCCTTCCAACTGTTAATCTGTATTTGTTACTTGGTACAAACCTTCTTTGTTAATTGCTTCAATTTTTGCAGGGTAGTATCGGCAATCTGTCCAACGAGCCAGAACCTCTTCTCCTGGTTTAAAATCCTGTTTTAAAAAAACAAAGTGAGGGAATGTTAAGTAAGTTCAAGCATAGCTTTGAAACAAAAATCTAACTATCCAAACATTACTAGTAGTCCCGAACTTGCAACTATTTGAAATTACAATGGCATGGGGCGAAAGTGACTTACAACTGGTCCTCGCACTTACAACCATCACAGCATCCCTATGGTCACATGGTCAAAATTCAGGTGTTTGGCAACGGGCATGTAATTACAATGGTTGCAGCATCCCCAGGGTCATGTGATCGCCATTGGTGACTTTCCCAGCCAACCTCCCGACAAACAAAGTCAATGAGGGAAGCTGGATTAAGCCAGGGGTTTCCAACCTTGGCAACTTTAAACCTGGTGGACTTCAACTCCCAGAATTCCCCCGCCAGCAAAACCTTTCTGGCCGGGGAATTCTGGGAGTTGAAGTCCACCAGGTTTAAAGTTACCAAGGTTGGAGACCCCCACATTAAGCCACACTATGTGATAAACTGCAGTGATTTTGCTTAACAACCGTGACAAAAAAGGATTGTCAAGTCATGGGCACCTGACTTAACAACCTTATTTAGCGACTGAAATTCCGGTCCTGATTTGCGTAGGGGATGAAAAGGGTTTCATTTTTCTCTCCTCTCGGCTACTGTTTGTGCTTGCGATCATGGCCCGTGACTTCCACTTAAAGCCATTATTCGTGAGGACTGGAGAAAAACGCTTACAATAAATTCGTCATCTTTTAGGCCCTCTTTCCTCAGCGAAGGCCGCTCGAGCGGGCGCAACCGATTGCTATCCCAGTAAATCCATTCATCGTAACGATGACTCCAGCGTTCAAAATGGACAAGCATCTTTCCTTCCTCATAGTCTATCTTCTCAATGCGTGAGGGATACCTTTGGAAGACAAACAGAAAAAAGGATAGTTCAACGGCTTCCTCTCTACAATAGGATAGAGTAACAGAGTTGGAACGGACCTTGGAGGTCTTCTAGTCCAACCCCCTGCTTAAAAGCAGGAAACCCTATGCCATTTCAGACAAATGGTTATCCAATCCCCTAGAGCCATGATGGCAAACCTGTGGCACGCGTGCCGGAAGTGGCATGCAGAGCCATCTCTACGTGCACGCAAGCTGTCGCCTGTTGCTCTTCTGGGTTCAGTCGCGCCGGCCAGCTGGTCTACTCGCGCACAGGAGTGCATGGGAAACCGGAAGAGCATCCACCTGGCGCGGATGCACATGCTGGGAAGATGATCGTCTAGTTTCTGGCGCGCACATGAGCACCGGCCAGCTAGTTTTTGCATGCGCATGTGTGGCAGAAAACCGGAAGACCAGGTGGCTGGTGCACATGCACACACCGGAAACCGGATGATCACCTTCCCAGAACGTGCATCCACACCGGGCAGATGCTCTTCCGATTTCCGGCACACCGAATATGCGTGCGCATGCCCCCTTTTTGGTACTCGGTGCCGAAAAGGTTCGCCAACATTGCCCTAGAGTAAAGTTTATGTGAATTACTAATCCTGAAGTACTGTGAATTAAAAGGCTAAGAGGAGGAAGGGATGGTTTTCTACTTGCTCAGAAATAGCCTGAATTCCTGCACCGTCGTATGATGGGATCATACAGGTAGTCCTCAACTTACGACCACAACTGGGTACCATAATTCCTGTCCCTAAGCAAGGCAGCTGTGAAGTGAGTCGTGCCCAATGTCATGACCTGTTGGAGCCATGTTTATTAAGTGACTCACTGCAGTTGTTAAGAGGATCCTATGGTTGTTAAGTGAATCCAGCTTCCCTGTTGACTTGGGTTGTCATAAGCAGCTGGGAAGGTTGCAAATGGAGATCATATGACCCTGGGATGCTGCAACCACTATAAACACATGCCGGTTGCCAGGCGCCCAAATTTGATCATATGGTCATAGGGATGCTGCAATGGTGTAAAAGTGCAAGAGCAAGTCGGAAGTCATTTGTCTTCAGTGCAAACTTTGAATAGTGTCTAAGTGAACTGTAAGTGGAGGACTACCTGTATTACATTTGTGCATACTAGAATTAGTAATAGAATAGAGCTGGAAGGGACCTTGGGGGTCTTCTAGGCCAGCCCCCTGCTCAAGCAGGAGAACCTATATTAGATAAGTGACTTCTTAAAATTATTTATTTTTTAAATTATTCATTATATATAATTCACACCCTTTATCGGTTTGTATGTTTTCCATAAGACTTTGTTCAAAACACTCTGTTGTGGATCCAAAATCCATGAGCAATCAAAAGTATATGTAATTTAAATAAACTACTAACTGGAAGTGAAAACAAAGCACGGTGAACTCACACGGACATAGAACTGGATAGGTCAAACTGGGGTTTACTTTTGAATGGATCTGTGCACGATCATAGCGTAATAGCAAAAAAAAAACAAAAAACACAGAATATTAGCTATTCCCAACATCTTGTCTTTAAGAATTAAAACTCTTATAATAGCTTTGCTAGCTAGGGAATTCAAGTATATCCAACCAGAAAGTTCAAAGCTGGGAAATGCATCAGTGTATAAAACAAGATATTAGTTGCTGCCCCAAATTAAGACTCTCCCACTTAGTTCTTCTATCAACTGAGAAGATATGGATTGGCAATTTTCTTTGAAGCCACATAGAAACAACCCAGGTATTTCTTACTCCAAACACCCTACGGTTAACTGTTTTCAAAACTGAACAGCTTTTAATCAGTTCCTTGGCTAATAACGTGAATACCAAAGGTAAAAATACTCAACCTCTAAATCTTATTGGCACAGCATCTAACATGAGGTGTTATCATAAATCCTCTGAAGTCACTGGTAAGAATGTAAGGGGGGAAAGCTGTGGTTTTTGTGCTAGGATTAATCAACAGAAGATATCAATTCATAATAAAACTACTGTATATTTCCTACTGCATGCTTAAATTAATAAACTAGGGGGAAAGTATCCAGTGCAAATATTTTATATTGCTGATAAACAGTTCTAGGAACAGCTATTTAGAAGCCCAACTTAATGTGAAAAGTCTCGAGACGTGCATAGGTTAGTGTAGTATAGTATAATATAGTACTTTCATTTCAATAACCAATATATTTAATATTTGATGTTAAACATGTGTGACCCACTTCAGGATCACACACAAAATAACCAAAATAACCACACACAAAAATAAATTTTCACCTCCACATTTTTCCGTAAGTGCTGCATTTTATTTTCCCTATCAGTATATGGCTTGTCAATGACTTAGTCCAATTTCTTACTAGGATTATTATCATGGCAGGGCCAATCCAATGTTCTCCTGTTTCCTTTATTTTTAAAGAGCAAGATATGGGCGGAGATTCTATTTATTAAATCTGAAATATTCAATTTAACATAGCTTTTAGCTATACATTCAGGGGAATTGCTATACTGTTTGTCTTATCTAGAACCAGAATGCTGTAGATAACTAGTTTGTTCTAGTAAATAAGGCCCCAAGCTAACAATTAGGAGACTGTAACTTCTAATCCCACCTTAGCACAAATCCAGTTGAGTGACCTTGAGCCCATCACTCTCTTCAGCACTCAAGAGAAGGAAATGGCAAACCACTTCTGAAAATCTTATAAAGAAAACTGGAGGGACTACTCCTAAGAGTTGCTAGGAGTCAAGGCTAACTCAAAGGTGAGTGCACCATTCATTCATTCATCCTTCCTTCCTTTCCTTCATTCCTTCCTCCCTCCCTCCCTCCCTCTCTCTCTCTCTCACACACACACTCACACTTGGACTCTGGGAAGATGGAACAGGATTACGTTTGGCATACCCATAGAACAATGCTGGTTGTTTCCCATCTTTTTTGATCATTGTAACATTTCTGCATATTACTTTTGAGATAATAAGATATGTTATCATGAAAGGGATGGATACTTGTATGTCACACAGCTTGGCTAAAACTATGAAAGAAGCCTTACACCTCTGGTCATAAACTGGACCAGAGATATTTTATCAAGGAAGAAGCATGAGAATTTACAAACCGGCTCCGTTGCTATCAACTATCACTACTCTCAAAAAGAATTTTTAGGATTAATCTTACAAATTGAAGATAATAAAAGTGAAAAATTCCAGTGGCAGCAGCTCTCCCGCCTGGGTGTTCCATCTGCTTCACAATTACAGTGCTTTTAATTTTTCTAAAATGAAATTTTATTTCTACATTGTGGAAAGCAAAGACCATAAAGCCACATCTATTTGGAGCCACAAACATGCCAAAGAAAGCATTAGGTCGGAATCAAATCTAAGCACTGTTGCCTATTATAAGGCTAAAACATTGAAGAGGAACAGTGAAATCGATACAGCAATAGAGAAAGGATATTAATTATATAAGATGCTTTATCTGGAGCTATTAAAGATACACTTTAAAAACGTTTGGGTCAGTTATTTTAAAATAACACATTCAAAGTAAGTTTTAACAAAATGAAGTAGTTCTATCCAAACTGTTCACATTCAACAAGTTGCCCAAACAAGCCGAGCTATTTAACAAAATAACCCCTTTGTATGCTCCCCCCGCCCCCCTGCCCCAGCTGCATATTTTAACTTTACAGTAAAGATTATCAACAATTCTTCCTCATTCCTGGTGTTATCAATACTCCAGTCCTAGGAAACACATTCAAAAGGTAGTAAAAGACCCTCCAGAGAAGTACTTGCCCAAAGGAGAGGAAAAGAATTGGCAGAACTCTTAAATAAGTTTGATGAGACTGACTCATAACTCCTCTTCGTAGTATTGATCATATTCCTTAAGTGAGAACCATTTGTTTAGCAAACGTGCAGTTACANGGTTGTCCCAAAGGTGCTTTTTCAGGAGCTTCAACAACCCTCTAAAAGGATGCAAATGACCAGCTGTCTGCAAGGAGTGTTAAGTCCTTCCATTCCCCACCATCCAGTCAGAGCTGAAGAAGCTTCTTGGATGAGAAGTGAGACGTCTTCAAAAGAAAAAAACAAGAAAGTCCAGTTGCCTCCTGAAAAAAGCACCTTTGGGACAACCGTGACCTGGATGACAGAGAATCTCTACAAACTTTTAGGTATACAATTTGGGATGAAGACCCTTTGAATGGTGTGGGAAGAGGAACGGATTTCCAGAGGGAAAAAATTGCAGACTACAGGAACCATTTGCACCACTCAGGTGACCCTGAGGACACAGGTGAACCTCCAAGTGGCCTCAAGGACCCTCTGAAAGGCTGCAAATGACCAGCTGTCTGCAAGGAGTATCAATCCTTCCATTCCTCACTATCCTATCAGAGCTGAAGAAGCTTTTTGGAGGAGAAGAAAAACGTCTTCAAAAGAAAAAACCCAAGAAAGTCCAGTTGCCTCCTGAAAAAAGCACCATTGGGATCACATGACCTGGGGGACTGAGAATCTTTACAGACTTTTAGCTATGAGGGAAATCCTCAATTTAAAACCACAATTGGGGGCCAGAATTCCTGATTGCCAAGCCCCCACATTTCGATTAGAAGAAGAGAGTTGGAGAGTTGGAGATCTTCTAGCCCAACTCCCTCTATGTGGATGCTGCAAAGCCTTCTTTAAAGGATTTCCAAGCCCAGAAGATTCAGAGATCTCCTCCTTTGGGGGATCTAGCTTGGATTCTGCGCTGGAAAGAATGCAGAAAGGAGCGAGGAAGAGGACGAGGGGGCTGGAAGGCTGAGAGAGAGGGAGAACGGTTGCAGGAATCGGGTGTGGCAGCCTAGAGAAAAGAAGGGCGGGGAGTGACGTGAGAGCAGTGTTCGAAGAAGCGGGGCTCAACCTGTTCTCCAAAGCATCTGAAGGTGCGACAAGAAACAGGGGATGGACTAGAAGACCTCCAAGGTCCCTGCCAACTCTGTTAACCTGTCTACAGGGCTGTAGTGCCGTGATGGGGAACCGATCACACGCGTGCC